TCTTGGAGTTCTAGTGAGCAGTCGTGACCAGTGAGGTTAATCCAGATGTCACGTGTGAGGATGGATGATGCCAGTCGCACTAAAGTCACGAATTGGTAGAGGTTAGAATTCATGGGCTGGTTACTGAATCGGTTCCTAGTGGCTGAATGGTATACGAGCCAGCTTGCCTTGTAACCGGAAGGTCCTGGGTTCGAACCTAGTGGGTGGGTACCACCGATGATCCCTAAACTAGGATGAAAAGCTGTCTTGCAGTATTCCAGCGCTGGTTTTCAATGGTTCTCTAACTAATATCACTCCGAGATCAACTCGTCAAAACAAAACTAATCCTTACAAACCAAACTATAGGAAATAATGTTCAGAAGTTTATATTTTTTCATTTGTCTGTTAGTGAGTTGTATTGTGATTACTACTAAATGTGATTCGCCTGTGTCTAATGTAAGATGATACAGCAGGACTGGTCTGCATCGACTCCTTATTTAAAAATAAGAGTGGGCTAGCTGATCAATTCACTTGTTTTGGGAAGCTTCATCGACCCTAATAAAATATTCGTTGACATAATCTCAGTATACATACAAAAGACTCGTGCTACTTTTTTGTTGTTGACAATTTTCGTCATCTCTAGTCACCGATCAAAGGATGTTTGTTTTATATTCCTCTTTATCAGGGTTGTGAGATATAGCTGTTGAAAAGGGAAGACTTGAAGGGGTGAGTCATCCTTAACCGTAGGTGTTTGCGTTCTGTTTCATTTTTCGTAAGTGGAATAACATGGTGAGCAATCCTGAGGCTGGGCTTAGAGTGTTAGGTTTGGTTGGGAGATTAGTTGATGAATTCGTGGAGCTGCATAGACTGAGATGGCTAGGACACCTATCGTGCATTCCAATCGATCGTCTCTCTCGTCTGTCAATGTTAGCTAATATAGAATCAGGTCAGAAAAGAGTTAAATCAAAATTTGGTATCAGTCCGTAAAGTCTTTGACCGTTGGTTTTATCCACTTGGAAAGGTATAGATTTTTTTGGGATTGAGCACTCAAGGCATCAGTAAACAGTGATTAGAAAGAGTTGTTGTCATGGCCCAAAACTGTTCTGAGTCAAGCAGATTCATTCACTCTTCTGAATCCATCAAGTTCACATTATCCTCCTTCCATAAATTTCTGTTTATTATAGCTTCTGGTTTAGTTGTGTTCTCTGAAATAGTTGATTTAATTGAGAAGATTTCGTTGTGCTCGTAGACAACATCTTTAGCGCAGACTTTAATATTTATGTGTCATTCTTGTACTTTCTCCCTTGAAACCGATCCTAGATCATTATATGAGTAGTTTTGATCCTGCTTCATACTGAATAATTGTTAAACACTTAAAATGATTTCACTAATATAAAGCTCTACTTTGTATTTTAGTGCTCATATATCTTCCATCTGAATTTCTGAATAAATCAACTGAAAATGTACTTTTAGAGTTAGATGAGATAGAACTTACACAACAGCTTAATTTTGAACAACACTTTCAGCGTGGACAATTTCTGTCGTCTGAAACATGGACAAGATCTAGGTAAAAGGAAACATAGAATACCCACTGTATCCACTTCACCCACACTCTTTCCCATTTTACCCACATTTCCCACCACTTAACCACTTTTATACCCATCCAAATACCATATCACCCACTCTACTCGTCTTCACGAAAACCTTCTCCAACTGGCTGGCTATCAACACACTGCACCAGCTAACACATGCACAGAAATACACGTATGCGCGAGTTCACACTGACAGACACAAACAGTCGGTCAGTGAATGAGCCAGTGAATCGGACAGTCGTTGAGCCAGTCAGTGTGACGTTGATTCGGTCAGGCAGTCAGTGTGTCAGTCACCGAGACAGAGTGAGAGATAGATTGACAGTAAGTGAGTGAGTCAGGGAGAGTGTGAGTGACTGAGTGAGGTGGTGAGTGATTGAGTGAGGAGTCAGGCCGAGTGAGTGGTATGAGTAGATTTAGTTGTTGTGTTGTGTTGTGTATCTGTGTGTATCTGTGAAAGATAGAGTGTGTTTTGTGTGGTGTATAAGGATTTGGCGTTTAGGGACGAGGAGCGGTGGATGCAAATCCTAATGAGGATATCATGTGTATCTGTCTGAGGAGTGTCAAATGGGAAGAAACGCGCATCCTGGATTCCACTGCTAGCTATCACCAACGACGTAAAGTGAAAAATTTTCGTAAGCTTTCACTGAAGTGTCCGTTCTACTGTTTGATACAACAGGAGAAATACTGGTTTCAACGTAAACTTGACGTGAAACATAGTAACAAGTTGTTTATTTGGTGTTGGTTGACAGCAGAATCAAAAACACGCGTTCGTCAATCTGGACATACTGGTTCCTCAGTGGCTGATAATTTTTCCACTGTGACTCGAATCCAGTACACATCGCTTCAAACACCAAAGTTCTATTCAGTAGGCTAACTCTTTTACGCAACGTTATGATTTGAAATTATTTACAATGTTACCATTGAGTTATTGATCTTGTCAATATCAAGGCATTCGCTAAAACGATACTGATCAATCTCGGGGCCGTCAGCAGGAAACCACAAACATGAGTGGATGGAAAGCATAGTATATAATTTTATAAAGGCAAGCATAGTACTTAATAATAGTAAGTAGTATAAATATCAAATTTAAAAAGGCAGGGATAGACTTAAAAGAGAAGGCAAACAAAGCGTAGTGAAAACTAATATTAACATATTGCTGACAAGTGACATTAGAGTATGGTTTCAATATATAGCAACCAAGTAGAAAGTCTGAACACACTGATCAATGGGTTTCCGACGTTTTTGATGAATTCTGGTACCTAACATGATGTGTAGCAGCCTCCCCATCAGATTACTCATTGAGGTCACCATACAAGAAGATATAACACTTCATGAATGACTGGATCTTAATTTTAATTCATTAAGTGAAATTTCTGTTCGACTGCTAGAAGTTCCACGAGCTATTGTTATCCTAAGTTAGTTACCCTTAGTATAATTTCCTCCAGCCTAACTCAGCATAGTCTCTTCTACTTGGATTTTCAATCTACCCAATATATCTAGGTGAATTTGTAGTTGGTACAGTTATGATTGCAAGTTGATATCAGTTAGACAACCAGAGGAAAAACAGTTCGGAGTACTGGACAACTGTTTCGCTCTAGTTTGCGACTCTCCAGCAGTACGCATTCACTTGAGTTCGAACTGAGGCGACCTTCTAGTTACAAAGTGAGCTCGTAAATCAGTGGGTGTGTACTGTGATGTGTCCTAAATTTGGATGAAACAGCAATCCAGCACTCCAAGCTGGTTTTCCAGTGGTTCTCTAACTGATGTGAACTTGTGACTTGCAAGCCGACACCTGATAATTTTGCATTGACCTTTGACCGATGACGCTGGGTTATAATTTCACTGCGAACACAATCACTCACTGGGGTTTGCACGTACATCCCACTGACTAGACCTAGATTCCCTTGTGCCAGTTGGCATGATATAATATGCTGTGATCATTTCATGCGACACAGGCGATTCAGTGAGATTATGTCACTTGACAAGTTGTAAGGATTCATCTCAACGTCTTATCATACGACTCATATCATCCAACTAGATGTCAAATTCATTTATCATAGAGACAGACTGAATAATGGTGACAAACAGCTTATGTAACTTTTTACACTTTCTTATGGGAACTACTGACTGCGTAAAACTATAAACTATTGATCGACTGGGTTGAGTAGTCGTATACCAATCTCACCAACCAGTAGTGCTCACTCGGGTGGTTTCAAAGCATTCAGCTATTCGAGCTGGGTCTTATCTAGTATACCGCTGATGAGGTTGACCCTAGACAGGTGAAACGACAGTCGGGTGTGTAGATCACTTCGATTTGACTGGCTTGAAAGCACTACTAGTTGATGTGAGTAGTATAAAACTAACTACTCATCTCAATCGACCATTCATTCAGGGGTACAGATTTGTTGATAAGTCACAAAATGAATCTGATTTGCTGACATTTATCCCTTTTTAAAAAATTTGTACCACATGATCATTTTTCATGTTTTATATATTTCACTAGTTAATTATAAGGTCATTCGTTTACCATGCTAACTTTTGTCAAAAGCTTTCCTGAAATCTATGAAAACAACGTCGATGGGCTTCTTGTTATCCCTGAAGTTAAATTTTTGCATTTGCTATGATGAGATTTGCTAGACATGAGAGTTTTCTCTAGAATCCGTGCTTATGGGATGAAATAAAAGTCTTTGTTTTCTAATTATTTTATAGAACTTTCTTGATTATTCTTTCCAGTATCTTGATCAACGTGCCCGTAAGACTAAACGGTTTGCAGTTTGATGAACAGTGTCTACATCCTAAAGAATTAATAGGACTTCCTACTGCGTGATTCGTATACCGTCCAACAGATGGTACCGTTTCTGTTGTAATAGATCAAATGGATGGTTGCTTTATTATATATATGATGTTCCCAAATGACACCACTCCTTAAATCCTTCACAGAGCCTTGGTACAGATGACGTGCCAGGTATTATCCTCTGATGGAATTTTGCTACTTGCACTTCAGACATCCCGAGATAATTAGTTCATCGCAGGTTTTTCTAGAAAACGAGATTATTCAGATCAGAGTCTGTGGTCTGTTTGATGCCGTAAATGCTAATCAAGGAACCAAGTGGAAATGCACTACACTATATATACTACTGACTGAGTGAAATGAGTAGTTGTATACCGCTATCTGAAAAATAATCACGGCATAAAACAGATCACACTTTGTGGTCTGAATAATTCAGTTTTCCAAAGGAAACCGTAGAAAAATAATCACATAGAACTTTGTGAATTGCGAATTTGATTTTAAACTACCACTTAACCAGGTATGATGGCCATCTTGATTGGTTGTCTGAAGGTGATTTTGTTCGTTCTTTATCATTTGTTTTGTCATTAGTAACTATAAGCAAGGATTGTTAATTGTTATTCATATATTATTTTACGCAGAGCAAATACCTTTAATACCAAGAAAAGTCAATGGCTAAACGACCATTTGTCGTCTGTTACATTTGTGGTCGAGAATTTGGTTCAGCATCAATCGGCATACACGAACCCCAATGTCTGAAGAAATGGCATCAAAAAAACGATATGCTACCAAAATCAGAGAGGATGCCACCACCAGTTAAACCACAATTAGTTCGCTCAAATGAATTTCAAGGTCCCGCTGACAGTCGGTCCGGTGGTGGTTATCAGTTTGATCTACCCACAGGTATTACGCAATCCGCAAGTACATTTAATGAGGCAGCAGCACTAGCCGCAAGTGCAAATCTAGTCCCATGTCCGAAATGCGGTAGGACATTTAATCCCGACAGAATTGAAGTGCACAAACGTGTATGTAAATCATCAATGTCGAATAGACTTCAGACAGTGAATAGTAATAATGCAGAAAAATCATTAAAAATTACTCCTAAATACACTAATGATAATTTACTGACTAAATGTTGTATTTGTAATCAAATGATTCAAACGCATTTAATGCCTAAACATGAATCCGATTGTCTAATTAAATCGAAACAAACTTATGATGATATCTCATTGGCTAAAAGTCAAGGTCAGCCCATGTCTACTTCATCCAATCAACTAACGAATAGATTCCATGAATTAAATTTAAAATCAACACAGGATAGATTACTGCCATGTTCATATTGTTCACGACGTTTCCTGCCAACAAGTTTAGAAATGCATTTAAAATCATGTAGATCGAAAAAAGACAACACAACTAGAAAAGAATGTCAACGTCAATCACAGGCGTCAGGACAGCGTACACGTTCTAGAACACCAACAAAACCGATATCAGCAGTTTGTTATATATGTGGACGTGAATATGGCACATGGTCAATTAGTATACATGAACCAAAATGTTTAGAAAAATGGCATAGACAAAATAATGAATTACCATTGGCTATGAGAAGACAACCACCTCAACGTCCAGCAGATCTACCGAATAAAGAAGCTAGTTATCATGATGTTGAGAAGTATAATCAACAAGCCTGGGAGATAAGTAAAGCTGCACTTGTACCATGTAGTAAATGTAAGCGAACATTTAATCCAGAGAGAATAGAAATACACGAAAAAGCATGTAAAGCTATCAGCCAATAATAATTTGACGTTTATTTTTGTTTAAATTTACATCAGTTAAGCGCCAATATTGATTTTAAATATTGTACAAATGACAACTTTTGGTTTACCTGCATGACATGCTTTTATTTGACTAATTTTTATTTCATTTTTGTTTTGTCTTTGTAATTTATAATTTTATTTTCATTTGTTTTCATTAATTTCAAAGAATTATTATTTATTTATTTATTTTTAGAGGTGAGAAGAGAAGGGATATTCATTTATTGACTGACTCCATGATTTCACTATTTTACAATTATTTTGTCATCTCACTTTTATTTCATTCAATTAAAATCCATTTCAGATGACAAAAACACTGATACATACTTTTGTAAATATCTGTAGGTCACAAAGTATGTGCTAATGATTGGGTGAAGAGGATTTTAACTCACTGGCTTAAGCGCTGGACTCGCTGACTGGGTTTTTACTATTACTCTTTTGGGTTCCAAGCGGAACATAAGGCTTCAATATCATATATATTCATGTTACTTTGTTCTCTGAAATCCTCTTTAGATGGCTGTACGACTGTCCATAATCTTTTACTTCCTTTCCACACGATCTGCTCCATATCACTGCCGGATATCCCATCTGGGTTTTAATAGAAGTGTTGCCTGGCACGCGATGTCACCAGACGGTTTTGCTCACTGTATGTTCCATTCATCTCCATTTTTCTAGGCATGTCTATTGAGCTCTTGACTGGTTCGTTTCCAGAATTTCTTGCTGCGAATTCTTTCCGGCCAGCCATCTGATCTTCAGTATGGTGCCAGTTAAGGCAGTTGTTGTTCAAAGTCTGTTGGAAATGTTAAAGACAACGCGCCAATTTTCTGGCCCCTTTAAAAGTCTAAATTTCGCTCTTCATTCTGAGTTCAGTAGATTTCCAAACTGATTTCAGGTTGAGGAATGTCTGTCTTGCCTTTCTGATCCTTCCATTGATATCCTCATCTGTCACATGTAGTTTAAGTGTTGATGCCTAGTTAAGTGGAGGGAGTGACCTTTTTCAAATTCATTTCTTTGATAGTCATTAGTGCTTGCTACTCTTGGTTGGTTATTTTCATCCCCTCCGTCCTATCTGTGTGTACCTAAAATCCTGTCTTCTCTGCCAGCTCTTTCGGCTTCGCGTGCATATATTCGAGATTGTATGACAGCAGGCATGAATCATCTGCGAAGTCCAGATCATTTAGAGTCTTCTTGTTGATCTAACGTATTTCTGGCTCCCATATAATCTAGTCCCCTACAATCAGGAATGTCAACAATGATAGCAGACAGCCTTGTCCTACTACTTTCATCACTCAACGGGCTTCACTGTGTTCTTCGATGTGGATCACCTGACATGTGGTTTTGTCATACAACTGTTAAATGAGGCTGACATGGATTTGGGGCATCGCACTTCACAATGCTGAAGCGGTTTCTAAATTACTTCACAGCCAACTCTATTGAAGGCCTTTTCGAAATCCATGAAAATGAGTTAGAGGTTTTACTGCCTTACTTTATGCTCTGTTTGATGATGTTGATGATTCGCGACACTACAGTTTTGGTCCCACGTGATCTAGTTTTCCTGAATCCAGGATATAGTGACTACTAAGTAAGACAAAGGGAATGCAACAGTAATATTAGAAAAATCAGATTATTTGGAGAGGGTGAATACCATAATAGAAACAGAACAACATGAGAAATTTAAGAAATCAATAGACACCGTTATATGCCAAGTGAAGTCATTTCTAGGTGAATCCAAATGGTTAAATTCAATGCCGAAAACTAATAACACCAGTAGAATGGATGATGTTGTTGACGTTCTTAAGTCAGGATATCCTAAAAGATTGGCTGGAGGGTTTCATCATGAACTGACAACAGTTAGAGAACTATTGGAAAACCACCTGGGAGTAGTGGACATCTATTTAGTCCTAGTTTGAAACTCTTCATCAGTACGCAACCCCCGCCAGGGTTCGGATTCATGAGACCGCCTTGTAACCAGAAGGTCCTGGGTTCCAACCCTGGAGGTGGGTGCGTACCGATGAAGAATTTCAAATTAGGGCGAAAAAGCTGTCCAGTACTCCCAGGTTTTCCAATAGTTCTCTAACTGTTGTCAGCTCATGGTGAAACCCTCCAACCAATCGAACACAATCCTTGCTAAACCAAAACTTGAAAATATAAGACTTATAGTTGATTTTAGGAAATTACCTGCTTATGAATTGTCTAAATATTTAGCTATGGTAATAAATCCACCGAAAAGCCACTCGAAGGCTAGACTAACAAATTCTTATGAACTAAAACACAAATTAGATAATTTAAAATTAGATAGTCAAGAAAAATGGTTGGTTTTGACATTGTCGGTTGATATACACATATACCAATAAATATGGCTATAGAGGTAGTCAAAAACGAACTCATTTCTAACGTATAACTTGAACTTAGAACAAAAGTGTTTTCCAGTGACGATATAGTTTATAGACGACGTTGTTGAGGTAATTTTGTATTTTTGATATGATTTACTGTCGTTCGAAGGTATCTAGGCTCTATCGTGTTAAATCATGTTTGGATAGTGTTGGAATATAAATTCTAACTTTTCATGACTTGTGGGAATTTGTGAAACTATACAAAAGAATGCAGAATTCCGACCAGAACAAGCTGGGTTCAGGAAAGGCAAATCATGTTCTGACCAAATTGCAACTCTATGCATCATCGTCGAACAAAGCATGGAGTGACAATAAAACCGCTACCTCAACTTTATAGACTTTGAGAAGGCCTTCGACAGCGTTGACCGTGAAGTAATTTGGAAACTACTCGAGTACTACGACGTACCCCAAATATTCATCAACCTTATTCAACAGCTGTACTACAACGGCACATATCAAGTGATCCACAACAGAAAACTCAGTGTGGCGTTTGGAGTAAACACAGGAGTCAGACAAGGGTGCTTATTATCACCAATGATATTCGTAATTGTGGTGTACTGGATTATGCGTCAGACAGCGGGAAACGAGAAGACAGAGATATCCTGGACTGACGTGAAGAACCTAGAAGACCTGGATTTCGCGCGTGGATGATTTATGTTTGATGTCACACAAAATCGAAGACTTACAAGCGAATTACGACCGACAAACTGGTCGAAGAAGCAGCAAAGACAGGACTCCAGGTGAACAGAGACAGGACAGAGGTTATGAAAATAACCAACCACCACCACCAACAACAGTAGTAGCAACATTCAGCGCCAATCACCATCAACGGGAGGGATTTGAAAGAGGTTACCTCATTCAGTAATCTAGAAACCATTGTCTCAACTGCAGGAGGAACGGACGAGGATGTCAAATCGAGAATCGGGAAGGCGAGAAACACATTCATCACCCTGAAACCAATCTGAAAATCTTCGTCACTCAGCATCAACAACAAAATTCGGATTTTCAATACAAGCGTCAAGTCAGTTTTTTTATACGGATCAGAAACTTGGCGGGTCACCAAGAATATTTCCAACAGCCTGTCGTAGACCTTTATCAACAACTGTCTTCGTTCAGTGCTGAAGATCAGACGGCCGGAAAGAATCACCAACGAGAAACTATGGGAGCAAACAAAACATGAACTAATCGCCCAACAAATATGCAGGAGAAAGTGGAGATGGATTGGACACTCGCTGAGGAGGGCGCTGGGTGACATCGCGCGTCAGGCCAGTGCTCGAGTGGAACCCGAAAGGTAAGCGGCGAGTGGTTCGTCTGTGCAAGGGTGACATGGAGGAGATCGTGTGAAGAGGAATTGAAACAGTATTGACTAACATGGATGCAGGTGAAGAGTACATCAGAAGACAGAAGCAAGTGGAGACGTGCAGTTGACGCCCTATGTTCCACTAGGAACTCAAGGGAATAATAATAATAATACAAAAGAAGAACACGTCAGTTGGTTTCCTTGATTCAAAATCTCAAAGTTCTCTAATCAAGTTATGCTATGAAATATTTAGGAAGTGGTAAACAGTAGCTACCTTATCCTTCTGTTGATTTTTTTTCTCAATGAATAAAAGTTAAATTCTTAGTATATCATCGTGTATTGATGAGACGTAGGGCTTTTACTGTGTTCTGTTCTCTGTCACTCTTTCTGGCTAGCTCCACAAGTGGCTACAAGCTTTCACTGGCACTCCATATAATCTCTATGTTGCCATCCGACTCTGAATTTACCACTCTGTTCTCATTCAGGAAGCATGCCAGTTTCTGGAGTATGTTTTCCTTCAGTGGTCTCTTCAGCGTATGTCCAGTCCATCTCAATCCCTATGTGCCTTGGATGATAGGGTCCTGGTGGATCCACTTCCGGGGTTCTTTGTGACTCGTCCTTTCTTAGCAGTCAACTAATCTTCAGCATGGAGCGCAGGGAGATGTTGAATGAAATGGTAGGCTGTTGGATGCGCCAAGTCTCTGACCCATATTACCACTGTTCCCTTGTGTTCCAAGTGGAACAAAGGGCTTCAACAACACATCTCCACTTTGTTCTATTTCCTGCCATCCTCTTCAGCCGGGTTCACGATTGACCAAACTCTCTCATCTCTTCCTCACACGATCTCTTCCAAGTCACCCTAACACGGAAGACCCACTCGTCCTTCGCCTCCCGACTGGGATTCCAATCGAATGGTGATAATTTCCGCACAATTTTCTTTGGGAATCAAGATCAGGCAGGTGATGGTAATGCCTTAAGCGAGCAGTACAGTAGTCTGGTATTTGCATCACTTCATTCTGTTTGCCTAGCAAGCACTGCTAGTTGATAGTAATGATATACACCTACTCATTTCAATCAATCAGTAGTAAATAGTTTCATGCAAAATTTACTTGCTTTCTTGACTGCCATTTAAAGGTATAAAACAGATCATTAGCTGTCATCTGAATAATTTGGTTGCCTAGAGAAACTGTGGTGAAGAATTCACCTCCTCAAACTGTGTAGATTACAAACTGCTAACTAATTTGCAAATTGTGGATTTGATCTTAATGAACGAGTAATTTATCGTTCGGTTTCTATCATAATTCCTATTTAAAAGCATGAATGGAATTTACCGTATCCCATTAAGATATGAGATGAGCTTTTAAGAAATTTTTTAGTAATTTTGTGTAAAAAATTTCAGACAGTTATCCACCAACTATGAATTCACAATAATTAATTACATTCCGCGGGTACAACTTATTATTGTCTAATGGAAAGAATCCGCTGATCTGAAGATTGATGACCCCGTTGGAAAAAATTTCTGCTGATAAAAACAACTAAGCCATTCATCATTGTAATCCAGCGTTTTGTATTCGTTTCTTTACCTATTGGA